TAAAATAAAAAATTTCTTATTATAAATTACGTACGTATATTGTTTTTGGATAGTGGCGGTGGCAGAAGCCTCCACCACCACTAATATGTACGGCTTCTTTCAGTGGCCACTATAAACCCAACAAGAACACTTCCATCACTTATCCTCACATACATTATGGCATATTTTTTTCATTCTAGAGTATACATGTATATCATATTTCTGTTATTAATATTGTTTATCATGTCGTATTAGATGAATTGTGATAGATAAATATAAAGCACTAATAAAATGGATAAATGAACATTTAACATCACACTTACCTTGACTGACTCTTGTTGGTGTATGGAAGACAAGTAGGAGGCAAGACGGAGAAGAGTTTATTATGGTGGGATTGTAAGAGAAGTGGGGCTTGTTACAGCTGCTTTTTGCAAATGATACAGTATTTTTGGAAGATTCTGATGAGAATTTGCAAAGGTTGGTAGATGAATTTGGGAGGGTGTGTAAAAGAAGGAAAATAAAAGTGAACATATGAAAGAGCATGGTGATGAGGGCAACAAAAAATTTTGGTAATGAAAAATTGGATATTAGATTGGAGGGAGAATGGAGGAAGTGAATGTGTACAGATACTTGGGAATGAATTTGTTGGCAGATGGGTCTATGAAAGTTGAGGTGAACCATAGAATTAACAGGGAAGAAAAAGGCGAGTGGTGTATTACAGCTTCTGTGGAGACAAAATTGGCAACGTGTGAGAGTACAGTAGTACCAATGCTCATGTATGGGTGTAAAGCATACGTTGCAAATAATGCAGCAAGGAGGCTGAAATTAAAGCAGCCAAGATGTCATATCTGAGGGCAATGTGTGATGTGAATATTATGCAGAAAATTTGTAGTTTGGATATGAGGAGTTGCAGAATTACTAAAGTAATATCCAGGGGGCTGAGAAAGGGTTGATGAGATGGGTCGACCATTTGGAGAAGCTGGATAAAAACAAGATGGCTTAGAGGGTGTATAAATCTGCAGCAGAGGTAAGGCGAGTAGGGGTCTTTCTAGGAAAGGTTGGAGAGAGGAGGTTAAAAGAGGTTTTGTATGAGAGGAACTTGTACATCCAGCAAGCATGTGAGAGCAAGGTAGATAGGACAAAAGTGGTTTTCATGACTTCCTGTGCTGTTGGAGTGTAAGCAAGATAATATTTATGCAAGGATTCTGGGAAACCAGGTGGGAAGTACAGTGCCTGAACTCTGAAGAAGGGGTGGGGATATTTGCAGTCTGACAAGAGAGTGGTGGCGTGAGTGATGGCAAAAGTGTTTCTTCTTTTTTGTTTCACCCTACCTTGATGGGAAATGGCCACTGTATTTAAAAATATACAAATATAATAATAATAATAATAATAATAATAATAATAATAATAATAATAATAATAATAATAATAATAATAAAATTTATACTATAGAGGTCAATTGAGAAACTTTCTTTTCTTTCAACACACCGGCAGTATCCCACCGAGGCGGGGTGGCCCACCGAGGCGGGGTGGCCCAAAAGGAAAAACACAAGTTTCTCCTTTTACATTTAGTAATATATACAGGAGAAGAGGTTTTGAGAAAGAAACAAAATACTATAATTTACACAACGATTTTTTTAAGACATTACAATTTTACATTAAAATAAGTACATACAAGAAAGGTAAAACATTGACAATAACAATATATGCATAAAATACATAATGTAAATCATCAGTTAAACATAAAGACACTAACAACATCACTGAGTATGAGTGGAAGAAGTCAGATTACTAGGCATACAATACATGACTTGAGAATGTAAAATAAATCGTCAGTAACACAGTCTACAAGAGAAAACTTAAAGTTCTTGTAAACCTTTATAAAATGATCTGTGGAGAATATATTAACTTCCAGGTGAAAACAATAACAGCCTGTTTGATCAAACATTCAACCAAGGAGCCAGAATTATTATTTCATTTTTTGAGAAACACTTAACCTTTTCGCTTTGATTCAAAAACACAAAAAATAATGTAACAACACAAAAATATTATAGTTTCCCTCAAGACTGATAATTATATTCAAGAGCAAGTGCTACACAGTGGCACGTGGCCTGGCGGCAAAATCTCTCATTTCACAAAGTGAGGTTCCAGGATCGATTCCGGGAAAGGATGGGAACATTGGGCGTGTTTCCTTACACTGGTTGTCCATGTTCACCCATCAGTAAAATGGGTACCTGGATGTTAGTTGACTATTGTGGGTCAAAATTTACCTAATTTGCCTGAAATGTTCAGCATAACAAGCAGCTATCTATATAGTAGTATGTCACTGATGTCAGCTAGGCCTGTATACCTTATACATGTACCTGTAGAAACAAAGACATTACAGCCTCTCCTCACTTAACAACAGAGTTGCGTTCCTAAGACCACGTCGGTAAATGAATTCATCGCTAAGCAAGGAGCATACTATAATGGTAGTGGATTTGTGTCAACCATCTTTGATATTGTTTTAATGTCACCTTTGCACCATTTATAACATTTTTAGTATATTTTTAAATGTTTATCCAGTAGCATACTGTATATTGTAATAAATAGAATGGTGGAAATCAGTTCTAATATACATTATTTAGGTATGCATACTGGTCAGAGAGCTCGGTGTATGTCCAAGTCATCGGTAAACAAGAAGGTGGCTAAGTGAGGAGAGGCTGTATATATTATTGTCGTGCCGAATATGTAAAACTGGTCAATTAGCAACAATTCATTTAAAATTAAGTCCTTTCTTAAATTTTCTCTTATACGTTTAAAGCTATATTTTTTCATTAATGTTAATGTAAAAATTTTTAATTTTGCACCAAAAGAATCTTAGAAAACTTTCCTAACCTTATTATAACAAGAGCAATTTATTTTAGCCTAACCCAACTAAATATATTTTAAATACGTTTACAATAATTTAGTACTAAACAAACAATCAAATATATATTTTTCGTTAGGTTCAGAATGATTTTGGCAAAATTATTGCATACACAAATTTTCACTTGACCTATATGGCAAGATGAGCGTTGCTATTTAAGCCAAGATCGCAAGTTCTGCCTATTCGGCGCGACATTATTATATTAACCCGTACACGGTCCAAACGTATATATACGTTTTTTCAACATTTGAAAGTAAGTAAAAAAGTAGATCTTCTTTTTGTTTTTCTACATTTGAAAATGTGTAAAAAACTTTGATCTACTTTTTGCTTTTGTTATATTTGAAAATATGAAAAAAAAAAACTTAGATCTACTTTTGTAGCACTACACATGTGAACGTAGATCTGCTTGGACCGTTTACGGGTTAAACCAGTGTGGGTCATACAGCACTTGAAAATGTAATAGTTGAAGGGTAATCATATGTAATCCAAGGAAGGTGATAGATAACTCTAATTCTTAGGATTAAGAGCCCATTACCAGCATCAGGCAATCCTCCTCGAAAGCAATTCTCTATGAGTGAACTCTCAAGTGTCGCGTTAGATTTGATTTACGCGAAAATATTTTTAAGCATTCAGAACACTGATGTGGTTTTTCTTGTGTATGAACTCTCATGTGTTGTATCAGAGTTGATTTATGTGAAAATTTATTTAGACATTCAGAACACTGATATGGTTTTTCTTGAGTATGGATTCTCATGTGTTGTATCAGAGTTGATTTAAGTGAAAATTTTTTTAGACATTCAGAACACTGATAAGGTTTTTCTTGAGTGTGTACTCTCACATGTTCTATTAGATGTGATTTACGTGAAAATTTTTTTAGACATTCAGAACACTGATATGGTTTTTCTTGTGTATGAACTCTCATGTGTTCTATTAGATGTGATTTACGTGAAAATTTTTTTTGACACTCTGTACACTGATATGGTTTTTCTTGTGTATGAACCCTTATGTGTTGTATTAGAGTTAATTTAAGTGAAAAAACTTTTAGACATTCTGAACACTGATATGGTTTTTCTTCTGTATGAACCTTCATGTGTTGTATTAGATATGATTTACAAGAAAATTTTTTCAGACATTCAGAACACTGATATGGTTTTTCTTGTTTATGAACTCTCATGTGTAGTATTAGATATGATTTACAGGAAAAATCTTTCAGACATTCAGAACACCGATATGGTTTTTCTTGTGTATGAACTCTCATGTGTCGCATTAGGTTTGATCTCCCTGAAAAATCTTTTAGACATTCAGAACACTGATATGGTTTTTCTCGTTTATGAACTCTCATGTGTCGTGTTAGATGTGATTTACATGAAAAATCTTTCAGACATTCAGAACACTGATATGGTTTTTCTTGTGTATGAACTCTAATGTGTCGTATTACATGTGATTTACATGAAAATTTTTTTAGACATTCAGAACACTGATATGGTTTTTCTTGTGTATGAACTCTCATGTGTTCTATTAAATGTGATTTACGTGAAAAGTTTTTAGACATTCAGAACACTGATATGTTTGTTCCCTTGAAGGAATTCTCATGTTTTGCATCTTATTTTTTGTCTGGAGAGTCATTAGGCAGTTAACCCTTTCACTGTAATAACCTAGAAACTTATAAGTGCTGACAGTGTCACAATATTTCAAATGGTAAAAAATTGTATCCTAAAAGTAATGACACCACTAATGCAGCAGTTCATGAAAAACTTAAAAAAAATTCCAGAACACTTTATGCATCAGCAATTTTGCCCACTTTGTTTTCCCACTTTATATCCTATTTTAGCCAACTCCAATGCTTAAGTTGACCCAGTTCCTACCCAATAGTTTACCCTCTGTTCTAATAACTGAGCACAGGATACTAACCATTCAACTATCAGAAGATAAAGTGACTAATTTTACAATTTAAAAAAATTCTAATTAAAACAGAGTCCAAAATATACACTGTGTAACTCCCCCCCCCCAAACAGCCAGATCTGTTAAACAGAAATTATTGAAGAAACCAGAACTGACAACCCTGAAGTCCCAAAATCTGGAGACAGCAAAGAACATCAGATGTCCATGTTGTCATAGACTTTCTCCAGGCTTAAAAGGACTTCCTCTAAAACTTGGATATTAGAATAGTTATGGTTATGCAGTGTTTATGTTAGGTAGCTGAGTTTTACTGCCAGGTGGGTAGTTTCAAATTTAGGTTGGACAAATACATGAATGAGAGGGGGTTGGATTTGAGTGGAACTTGCACATGAGTAAATAGATTTGTCAGAGCTAATTTTTAGGGTAGCACTGTAAGTGGGTTGGGCAAATGTTTTGTTAGTGGGTTGGTATTGTAAAGGACCTGCTAAGTATGGGCCAACAGGTCTACTGCAGTGTTCCTCCTTTCTTATATTTTTAAGAGTTATGATGAGAATGAACTAGAGGCTAAAAACATAGACAGTATTATGATAATAGATGAGTATAATGGATAGACATAATAATTGAGAGCAGGTTAGTAATGATGTTGAAGAACACTGTAGACATTCCAGCCACTAAAATAACTTTGCCTCAGTACATTATGTTGCCAGGCTTCTATGTAATGATATTTCTCTAATTAGTAAAATATAACCAAAACTTATTGGACATACTTTAGGCCATCTCAATAACTGAAGCAAACCTAATGAAAACCTATAAAGTACACTGAGGGGCTAGGGAGGGTTATACAATACTTAGGAAAATTGCCAAAAAAAAAATATTTTTGCCACTTTGAACCCCATTTCAAATTATTTCCAGTTTGAAACTAACCAAAATCAGCTCTCTTTTACTAGTAAGTCTTCCATTCTATAATTGACACTATTAAAACCATAAAAACAATCCAGAGAAATTCACTACAATGTTGCTATTTTAAGCCCAAAGGTTTTACTTTTCTCCATCATGCACTGAATGGGGCAGGCTATTTTTTTTTTTATACTATGCACACACACTATACAGATTCATTTTCTCACGTCTAGGCTAAAATTTACCACCAACAGCATATTTAATGGCACTGTGCTTAAAACACAGATCTACTTGACACTGGCATTGATGACATATATCCACACGGGGACAGTGAAAGGGTGAATATTGACATTGTATTACTGCTTAATGAGATTAGCCTGTAAAAACTTGCATCTGTGGTCACAGTGGCACTTATGCTAGCCTTTTTATGGTGTATAAATATACCTAATAAAGTTGGTAGAATTACCGACAATATGTAAAGTAACAGCTTGACAAAGCTCCTGGAGAGCGAAACGTTGCCACAATAAAATGTCACATTAGTTGCACTTGTGTCCTTTTACTTTACATAAATATACCTAGTTGGATCAATCTTATTGTAGCCAGCTGGCCCAGTGGCTAACATATTGGTCTGGAGATTCACAACTCTAACCATGGGTTCCAGCCCCGCCTGTGGAATGATTTGTTTACAATAGTGTCATTACAATTTTGTGAGTCATAATGAACTTTTATTTATTATGTGTATTTTGAGATTTTAAACTAAAGAACATTTGTGAAAAAAAGTCACTGAGACACACTGACAACATAAGTCCCTTATTATTGTCGCTAAAAGTAAAATATTAAAAATATATTAATTTAATCTTTAAATAATTTCCTAAATTACATAGAGCATGAGAGCATAGAAGATGCTTGTTAACAGCACACAGCATCAACATGAACAACAGCACACAGCATCAACATGAACAACAGCACACAGCATCAACATGAACAACAGCACACAGCATCAACATGAACAACAGCACACAGCATCAACATGAACAACAGCACACAGCATCAACATGAACAACAGCACACAGCATCAACATGAACAGCACACAGCATCAACATGAACAACAGCACACAGCATCAACATGAACAACAGCACACAGCATCAACATGAGTGCACACATGAACAACAGCACACAGCATCAACATGAGTGCACACATGAACAACAGCACACAGCAGAAAATTTTATGGAGACAGGCAAACATATATTGTGATAATGGCAGTAAAAGGCAATACTGAAATACAATGAGACTGTATGATTAATAAAAATTATTTTGAAAATCATTAATAAGTTAATGGAGGCATATATCAGACTACAATTAAAATGGAGGGATTTTGTGAAGCATAAATATCTGAAGTAAAGAAAGTAATATAGATGGTGTAATATATCCTGGCCACAATGTTAACAATAAAGTAATATAGATGGTGTAATATATCCTGGCCACAATGTTAACAATGAAGTAATATAGATGGTGTAATATATCCTGGCCACAATGTTAACACTGAAGTAATACAGATGGTGTAATATATCCTGGCCACAATGTTAACAATAAAGTAATATAGATGGTGTAATATATCCTGGTCACAGTTAATATTGGTAATAAAGAAATACAGGTGCATTTTACCATCCAGTCACAGTCAGGAAATAATATTCCTACATAGTTCTGTGTATTATATTCAGGCACATTATTACATAAGACAGACAATGTAATATGATATTCACCACAGTGATTAAAAAGATAATAGACTTTTACTGACTTCTGCTTTTTTTTATAATAGACTTTTGAAAGTAATATAGTTAAATATTAGTAGGGAATAAATCAACTCTTTATTAAGACTTAATATCTTATGAATCAACTAATAAAATATTTATATAATAAGCTAAGTAGCTTTATAATGGTAATAAACTGAAGTGTGATGGATGTTGATAATAAATGTTCAGTGTTATATTAACATAAGAACAACAGCATTTCAGTAAGTGAACTTTATATCCAGTAAATGTTGAGTGTGGATGTAAATGTTATAACAATAATGTGAGCTGCATGATACAAGTGCAGATATTAACAATGTATTTAAGACAATGTGGTCAACATTACTTGCACTATTTCTGCTTTATCTCTGTCAGTTACATCACTTTCATTGTACTAAGTGCTGACAATGTAAGCATAATTCTTCAGCCGAGATGCTGACCTGCAAGAGGAAAAAATACATTAGCTAAGAACTGAAGAATTAAATTTTTTTTGTATGCTGATATTAAACCAAATGTGTAGATATTTGTGTATGTTCTTTTTAACTTGTTGAGTGTTTACAGTGACAACATTATTATTAGTATTACAATCAAAATTAACACTTTCAGTGTTGGTCCCATTATATCACAGCTTTGAAGTCAGTGTCAGTCCAGTAGTATGATGCCATGAGCTCAGCTCACTCAGATAAGCTCTGAGCAGTAAATTTGGGCCTAGATATGAGAGAATGGGTCTATGTAGTAAGTGTGCACCACATAAAAAGAAAAAAACTGCAACCATGATTTTGGTTTAAAACAGTGGCTTTGCCAGTCATTATCATATAGATTTTATGGCTGTCTTCTCAGTTTCTTGGTTTCATTTGATAGAATGGAAGACATATTACAGAAATAAAGATGATTTAGATTAGTTTCAGGATTAAAGTAGCTTGAAATTGAGTTCAAAGCAGCAGAAATGTTTGATTTTTGCCGATATTTCGCAGATAACATTACGTGTCCAATACACATCCAAGTGGCCAGTCTAATAAGCACTGAAGAATGCACTGACATTATTTATACTATTACAATAATGCAGTAGTCTACATAAAAGTAAATTTTCTATTTTTTGTGTAAACACCTACCATACGACTTACGACCGAGTTCGGTTCCGAGAAACCAGTCGTAAGTCGAAATGGTCGTGTCGAACTTTACTACTGAATATCAAAATAAAATTTTTGTAATGACTTTATTTTATTGTTTTATTTTGGTATTTCATGTTTTACTTTACTTTTTATGCTGTTAGTACTGTATTTTATACTGTAAGGTTTAAGTTAAACACTGTGTACAACACAAACACTTGTTTATTTCCCAGAAATTTGGCATAAAAAACACGGTTGTAAGTCGAGTCGTCGTAAGTCGAGCAGGTCGTAAGTCAGATAGTAGGTGTACCTGGAGTCTACCTGGAGGGTGTTCTGGGGGTCAATGCCTTCACAGGCCAGTCCTTGACCAGGCCTCCTGGTAGACCAGGGCTTGATCAACCAGGATGTTTCTGCTGGTTGTACGTAATCCAACATATAAAACACAACCCGGTTGAGAAGGTACTGACTTTAGGTATCTGTCTAGCTCCCTCTTGAAGGCAGCTAGGAGTCTATTGGCAATTCCCCTTATGCCTGGTGGGAGGCTGTTGAAAAATCTTGGGCCCTGGACACTTACTTTGTTTTCTCTTAGTATACCAATGGTGCCCTACTTCTCATTTCACTTGCACTGTTTGCCCAGTCTTTTGCTTTCATAGGGAGTGATTACTGTTTGCAGATTTGGGACCAGCCCCTCTAGGATTTTCCAGGTGTAGATTATGATGTATCTCTCTAGCCTGGCTCTAATGAGTACAAATTAAGTGCTTCCAAGTGTTCTCAGTAGTTGTTTGAGAGAACTTATATGTACAATAAAGGTTCTCTGTACATTCTCTAGATCTGTAATTTCACCTGCCTTGAATTGAGACGTTAATCTACAGCCAGCAGTATTCCAGCCTAGAGAGAACAAGTGATTAAAAAAAAAAACATCATTAGCTTGGCATCCCTTGTTTTAAAGGTTCTCTTTATTTATCCTATCATTTTCCTCACAGATGTGACAGTGACAGTGTTGTGATCTTTGAAGGAGGGATCCTCTGACATTACCACTCCCAGGTCCTTCACACTACTTTTCCACTCTATTGTGTGAATAGTTGAAACAGATAAATAGGCAGATAAATGCCGGTCGTGAGGCACCAGCAGTGGGCCATGCTGCCACCCATGCTGCCACCCATGCTGCCACCCATGCTGCCACCCATGCTGCCACCCATGCTGCCACCCATGCTGCCACCCATGCTGCCACCCATGCTGCCACCCATGTTGCCACCCACGCCGCTGCCTCAGCTGATCTACAACAAATTCAAATTCAAATTCAAATTCAAAGTTTATTCTCTATAAGGATTACAATGCTGAGTTTACAGAAATTTGGTTATTGTGTGGTTTACATGTAGTAAAATTGTGATTACAGAGTGTACCACTAGAACGCTTAGCATGGCTAGGTATTACAGAGTGTACCACTAGAACGCTTAGCATGGCTAGGTATTACAGAGTGTACCACTAGAACGCTTAGCATGGCTAGGCATTTCGGGCAGACTTAGTTTTATTCTTAATTGTAAAATATTACAAATTATGAGGTAAGTTGGTATTATGGCTAAGTGACTAAATACTAGTTCGTGAGTTTAGCAATGTGAATGCTTTTGTTTTGGCACAGTACATAGTTTCAGTATTGGAGTATCACAGGATTCATTATTTTAAGATTGAGATTAATATTTCTGTTTATGGTCAAATGAGTGAGGAGTGTAAGTGTGAACCACCAGGTGGTATTCGTGTAGTTAGTTGACGGGGTGTATCAGGGAGATAAGATGTTTTCTAATGGTAGTTTTGAAGGTGATGAATGTGTCTGCAGTTCTAGAGTTCTCAGGTAGGGTATTCCAGATTTTAGGGCCTTTGACATACATTGAATTTTTGTAAAGGTTTAGTCGGACACGGGGAATGTCGTAGAGATGTTTGTGTCTGGTGTTATGCCTGTGGGTTCTGTCACAACTATCAAGAAAGCGTTTTAGGTCAAGGTTGATATTAGAGTTTAAGACCCTGTAGATGTAGATTGCACAGTAGTAAGTGTGGATGTACTGAACTGGGAGTAAGTTTAGGTCTATGAAGAGTGGGGGGGGGGGGGTGTTGCCAGGGATGGGACTTAGTGATTATTCTTACTGCAGCTTTTTGTTGGGTTATTATTGGCTTTAGGTGTGTTGCTGCAGTTGATCCCCAAGCACAAATAGCATAGGTGAGGTATGGATAATAAAGGCCACCATCCCCCACCCACCCACCACACCAGCCTCCACAACCACAACCTCCACAACCACAAACTCCACAACCACAACCACCTGTCAATGTCCAGTATCCCCCAGTAGACCACACCTGGGATTGGCAGGAAGCTGCCAATTTTGCTCCAAATCCCCCAGTTTGATGAAAGCCAAAGTGGAATACGGCCATCTTGTACACTGGGGAACAATGCCAGTGAACTGGAATGTTTCGAGTTATTCTTTGACGAACCCCTGATGGAAATTATTGTCAGGGAAAGCAACAGATACTACTAGTACACCATGGCAAACACAACACTTTCACCAAACTCACACCTACACCAGTGGAAGGAGACAACTGTGGCTGAGATGTATCTTTTGTTTGCCACAATAATGTTTATGCCACGTGTGTATAAGCACAGTGTGAAATTATAAGAACATAAGAAAGGAGGAACACTGTAGCAGGCCTGTTGGCCCATACTAGGGTGTTCCTCCTTTCTTATGTTCTTATGATTTCACACTGTGCTTATACACATGTGGCATAAACATTATTGTGGCAAACAAAAGATACATCTCAGCCACAGTTGTCTCCTTCCACTGGTGTAGGTGTGAGTTTGGTGAAAGTGTTGTGTTTGCCATGGTGTACTAGTAGTATCTGTTGCTTTCCCTGACAATAATTTCCATCAGGGGTTCGTCAAAGAATAACTCGAAACATATTCCAGTTCACTGGTCAACAGACTGCCTGCTTGCAACCCCAGGTTTCAGTGATATAATAAGAGTGAATCGAGTTGTGCTACTATTACGTATGCTTCACTTCTCAGACAAAACCAGCCCTGACAGAAACAACAGATTATATAAGATTAGGAATGTGTTTGTGTATCTGAAACAGAAATTCAATTTTTTTTTTTTATCCCTTCAGGAAGCTTGTTATTGATGAGTCTTTGATTCTGTTCAAAGGAAGACTCTCATTCAAGCAATACATACCAAGCAAGAGGAAACGCTTTGGTATAAAGTTGTTTGTGGTTGTTACAGTGGTTTTGTATTGGATATAATTGTGTACACTAGAAGTAATACATTGCGAGATACCAGGAAGTTACTGGGTATCTCCGGTGATGTGGTTAGAACAATGATGGAACCATATCTTGGTAAGGGACATATACGTATACTGATTACTGGTACACAAGCCCCTCACTCAGTGATTTTTTGTGAGTGAACATGACAGATGTGTGTGGCACAGTGCGTGCAAATCATAAACATATGCCCAGGTTCAACGCTGGCACTCGTAGAGGTGAGATGCAGGTGTTTGCTGCCAATGACATCATGGCATTTCGGTGGCATGACAAACGAGATGTCACACTGTTGTCATCAGTTCACCCTAATGAAATGGCAGACAGCATAGAGAAAGCAATGAACCCATTCTAAAACCTGCAGCTGTGATTGACTACACCCTCAATATGCATTCAGTGGACAAATGTGACAAGCAGATTGGGTTTGCTGATTGTGTTCACAAGCGTTATAAGTGGTACGTAAAACTCTTTTAAAACTCTTTATGTAAGATGAGGACCAGAAACAAACCACCATATGGCAAATTTTGTTTGTTTGTCATCAGACAAATAATAATCAAGTACCAAGGAACAACACCTGCAATAGAAAACCGCCCATGAAATTATCAACAACTACCTTCTCGTCTGAAGCATGGTGATCACTTCCTAACAAAACTGCCTGCTACTGCTTTCAAGAAAAATGCTCAGAAGAGGTGTTACATCTGTGCACATACAAAAAACGCCCACAACAACAAAGAGACACTCGTTTCATGTGTGAGGAGTGTAAAACACCATTGTGCATAACACCATGTTTCAAAGACTTCCACAGGCTACAGAACTTCTAAAAACATGTCCTGTGACTGTATATGTGTATATAAAATATAGAAAAATAGTAATAAACAACATTTTATATTGTTCATTTGTGTAAACAAGTTTTGTAAACAAAACAGTGACAACAGTGTTTATGCAGTTATTGTGTAGTATAGAAAAAGAAATAACTTACAAAATAGTGCTCATATTGGTCCCACACGCCATAAAAGTTACTTGGAAAAAAAATTTA